CCCCAAAACCCCAAAACCCCTTTAAAATCAATTTCTGTATTAGAGGTGTTTAATAAAATAATCATGATATGTTCTTTATTAAAAATATATATATAATTCTTATCACTCCATTTAACATAATTAGATTTATAATACTATTCCATAAATTCGAACCTCTTATAGATGAAGTGATCTCACCACTCGTCATCGGATACGTTTCTTATTTTAGGAAGAGGCCTTTTTTCAGCGTTACCAAGGACCTTAAAGCCTTTGAACTTGTTGACTATCTAAAGATCCTCAGAGTATTTCTTTGCAAAAGGATCGCCAGTCTAAACATATTTAAAATTATTTGGATTCATAGATTCTCTTTTCAATTGAAATGCATCATCCATTTTACTTCTGAGTTATTTTTCGAGTATTGGAATCATTTTATCATTTAACTCTAAAAATATTGGATTAAAAGGGATATGCTAATTATTTTTACTATGAAGCTCAATAAATCGAGTGGCCAATTGTTTTGGAGAATCTCGCTCATAAAATATAATTTTCTAAGGTGACATATCAGGTGGAATCTTTACATCCAAAAAGAATAAGGGTCTATTCTTAAGAACATTTGTTTCTTCATTCACTATAATGTTATTTGATGGAGATGAAAAATTATCTTACATAGTTTTTTATTTATGATTTCAGATAATTACTTTGAGCACATTGAATTTTATTTTTGAAAAGAGTTGTCTTCTATGAAATCATTTTGAGTTTTTGTGTTTAGATCTCCAAACATTGAATTAGTTATCATCGATACTTCTCTCAAAAAATGATCTGGGTGCTTTAATTCAATTAAATGATTATCTTTAGTTGAAAGATTTTTTTGAGAACTTCCTTCATTTGGATTTGAAATTTTATTTGACTCTACTTCAAAGCCATCATTCATATATAGCGGAGAATTATCTCTTGCTCTTCCTCCTGTGTGTTACTTTCTAAGCATATGCTATTTAGATTCTGGAACTGCCAACTTTCTATCAGCATGCTTGGAAGTTCTTGACATATCAAGTTTTTATACATGGGATTTACTAACCTAAACACTTTTTTTCGTATTACCTAATCTTTGCTTTCGCTCATTATGCTTTTTAGGGTTAATTACACCTTCCTATAGAGCATCATTATCTTCTAAAATATTTGATAGATCTATCTTTGGATAATTTTCATTTTTCAATTCCTCAAGCAGCTAAGTAATATCTTAGTAATTTTATTCTTTTTTTTGTGATCGAGAACTACCTGCACCCCACTAATCAATTTATATAATTGGCATCACAAGATTTTCTTTTGGCTGAATCATTTATATTTTTATCTGCTCGTCTAAAATCTTCTACTACCTCTCGGATACATAGTCTACAAGATTAATTTCGATTTTTCTAAAAGATTTTTCCCTTGAATTTATTGAAGCCCTTCTCGATTTATTTTTGGGAGAATTTCCATTTGCCATTGTTTAGTATCCTTTATTTGGAGATGCATAATTCAAACTTAATGCAGATTATTTATCCTCATTTAAGCTTTATAAGGCATCGAACTCAATCACTCGAAGATCTTGCTGTGAATCCTTATTCTAAGTTTCCTGAGATACAGGTGGTGGCAGCTTTGACTCTCTTAACTTACTCATATATTCATACTTTTTATAGCATTCATTTAATTTATCCTGATTTAAAAATTTTCCGAATCCATTCTATTTGAAAGCCATACAGCTCTCTTTCTACTCGAATTATTAAATTTCTTCTTTTTTTGTCAGAACTTGATTTGTATTGATATTCAAGATTCCAGCAATAAATGTTAGGATATTATGCAAATCACACTAATATGATGAATTCAATTCTTACAGCCATATTTAACCAAGGGTATAATCTTATCTAGGATCATTTGTACCATATTCAATTAGTTGTAAATGCTAAAGTAGCTTTTTGAAATCTTCATATCCAATTACTTTAGGCTTATCAAAGGTAATATCATTATCATTAGAGAGTAAGGGTAACTATTTTTATTAAAGAAATTCATTGATATTAGATTTGAGACTCTAATATTACTCCTCTTTTGTCTGATTCATCCTGGGAGTTGCTGATATATCAACTTTAACCGGACTCATCATTACATATTATTTATGCATGTAGGGTTAACTTAATTTGTCTAGAGCAAGTCTATAATGCTAGGAAATTCGAGGTATCTTTTAAGGATTCAGATTTTTACTTGATTATTGTGCTGGAAGTTATTTTATCTATATTTAACTCTTTGAATTCCCAGTAGAAGATATCTATGGTTTTAATTTGTTTATTTGATTAATTTTATTAGAAGAAATATTGCTCTCTCTCCTACTACTCAAAACTTTTGATGAATTATTGCTGTGAAAGCTTCTGTTTGAACTAATATGAGTAGAAGCTTAAAGTGTTCTGCGAGACTTAATTGATTCCATTACTTTACTTACAGGACTTAATATCCTCGATAAGCTCGTATTGCTTGTATCAGTTTTCTTGATCAATTTGAGTTTACTCTCTAAATCATGTTTGGCCCTATATTTTTAATGAAATGATTTAGTATTTTAAGTGGTATTGTTGGTAACTGAAGATCTTGGCTTCTATATTTTCTGATGAAAGGTATTTAACGAGCTTTTCATGAAAGTTTGAATCGCAGACTTCATTCCAGTATTGGGAGAAGAATATTTAGACTAACTTCCATATGATCTGTTGCTCAATTGATATGAGAACTACGTATTTGATATTGCATCAGTATTTTATATTTCACTCTGCTGTTGCTTCTCAGTTAAAGCTTTGGGAGTGCCTTCATTACTCTATAGGATTTACTTAGATTTTGCGTCCTTTAGTGTATCAATTTTTACTGGATCAGATGAAAGACTCGATGATATCTTTCATTTTTAATATGGCGTTGCTTCATCATTTTATCCAAAATTCTTGAGAGTGTTGGATTATTCCTATCTTGACTTACTTTGATTTAAACTCATAGGCGTTGACTATAACGAAACGTTTACACCAGCTCTGATCTAGTCTTTCCTTTATTGGACACTTCTGATATAGTTCTAAGCAATGCTTAGGGATGTATTACTGCTCTGAGTATGAGCCCGACTATTATACTTGCTTTTAGAATGATTTGCAGTGCTTGGCAGCTCCTTTGACTAATTCATTTTATAAATTATTCAGTAAAACAATATTAAATTTAATCAAGCTTACCTATTAAAGAAGTTAAAAATAGACTTATGTTTTAAAGGGGTTTTGGGGTTTTGGGGTTTTGGGG